TATTTTAACAACAAAGGTGATGAGAGGATCCAACCTATGCTCCCTCAACACTATTAAAGGTCATCTACACCTCCATTTCAAAGAAAATGGTGACAGCAGTGGCCCCCAGGAGAAAGGCCATTAGTTTAAGAGCAAGGATGTTTAAAAGCAAAGATAACTCAAAGCAGTACTTTTATGATTTATTATTCATTCAGGCCTGCGATTTAATACATAAACTCAGCCACTTTTCTAACAACAAAGTCATGTCTTCCAAATAATTTCAAAAGAGCTTGCATGGATAGGTACAGCTGCAGTATAAATTGTGGTCACTGCCACAGAGGTAATCCATAATAGAACATTCTAAGCAGCGACAGGTCACCGGAACCGTAGTGACAATGTAATAGCAGACATCACCAAGGGTCCAGAACCTATTATGCAGGGTCTTGCTCCCACTCCTGCTCCAACACCTTAACCCGGTGCTTTAAAAGCTGATCCTACTTTGAAACTCAATCTCATAGTTTACAACACAAGACATTACTGAAGCATGTATGCTACCTATAATATCCTTACCTCATCAGCAATCATAGCAATGAGTGCCGAGTTGCTTGTACGGATTTGAACTTTGTTGGCCATTCAAGATATATGAAACACCTACAGAAGGAAACATAATCTCTGTCAGCCATCAAATAGAATCTCGATCTTGAAAGACACAGAGTTACGCATTCCCAAGGGGATGCAGACATACGCCATCCAGTAGAGACATCACTTAAGATGTAAAGAAAAGAAATGACATCACTAATCTTGATTTTCAAGCGAATGGCTTGACAAGAGCAAGGGGTACTACATTCATAAGTAGATGAAAACCAAGCATCAAGAATTTGGCCCTACTTGAATATTTAACTGCCATCAATCTGACAAAAATTCAAGAGCGATTATCCGTTTGGCAAGCTTTTTTAGGTACTTCTATTTAAGCAAAAAAGCATATTGTAGAAAAGTAAAAGTGTTTAGAAAGGATCTATATGCATGCTAGTATAGATATTTTTTCTGGGTTCAGAGCATCTTAGTATAGAAATAACATGCTAATGTGTGTATATATTTGTAATATTATACATGTAATTAAATTTGGAGCAAAAGAGCAAGCCCAGACAAGGTAAAGCAAGAAAAATACAAAATAAACTTTTTTCAGGAAGGTAAAGCATGAAAAAAGCGTAATGTCAAATACTTTTTTGCTAATTTTTTGGCTTGACATACTCTTTTTTTCCATTCACAGCATGTGAGCTGTTATAACTCGATTCAACTTGGGCACTCCAGAAACAATTTAGGTTTATTTTTGGTAAAAAAATGAAAACAAAAAACTTGTTTGGTTGTTGTTCATGTTGTGAGAATCATTCAAAAACAGAAACAAAAACTAGTTTGGTAATCACTTCTAATGATGTTATGAACAGTTAGGTTATACTATACACTTCCTGCTAGTTTAATTGTAAAACAGAGAATTGAAGCATTATCCACAAAAATGATCCTACAGGTTATCAAACTACAATATTACAAATATATCCCATAGTTTCTAAACATACAACATACTAATCCATTTGAACATCCCATAATCCATAGTCTTAAGGAATACAAATACTGCACTAATTAAGTAACAAGTTTTCAACAAGTCTTTATATGGATCAGTTGTAGTCACAGAGTCACCATAAGTTGACAACGCACCACCACTTGCCATTTTTTCTCATAGTACCCTGCCCTTACCTTAACGCCCATCAGATTTGGTGGACTCAACCCCCACAATATTGGTTACATTCACATTTGCCATCTACAACCATATAAGATCATCAAACAATGTGATTTTTTTGGGGGGTCTAATCATAAATACCTCCATCACTATGGCTTCCTCGGCTTTTTTTCTTTTCCTTAGCTAAGTTCCTTAATACCAAAAAAAAAAATTTAAACAGACGTCATGAAATCTGAGTCCTCACTGCCAGCTCAAAGACCCGAACTCACACATACGAACAAGCCTTAAAAAAAAAAAAATCAGTCCAAAAAAACAACTGAAGAAACAGAGAAGTATGCGTAAAAATTTGGGTTTAATCAACACAGGAAAGAAAAATCCAAAAAAATCCTACATATATGCGAAAACAATTAGGTGAAACCCTAGATCTATGCGAAGTAGCTGAGGGTTTGGTGATGCAAGAGATGAATCGCACAAATAGAGAGACACAATGCACAAAGAAACTGCACAAAACCCTAGAACTATGCGATTGGAGCTAAGGACTTACCTCGGTTGCAACAGGCTGATGTGAGAGATGTATCGCACGGAGAGAACCGGATACGATGCAGAAAGACGATCGGGAGAAACGATGGAAAAGAGGGAATGGTTATGCTGCGATTTGCCTTGATGGTTTTGTTGGTAGAATTCCCGATTTTGTTACAAGGATTGATGGCGGGATCTGATTTTATACGACTTCGATCTAGTCTTGTCCCATGAATTAATTCATCGATCATGGATAACAGGACAAGCAATGATATCTGAAGAGGTGTGGGTCAGGGTCGCAGTTTACGTGTCCTTTCAAAATGTCGGTAAAGATCGATCGACCGCTAATGGGCTGTTTGCTATGATAGAAAAAAAATAGTAGGGATGAAAATTAAGTTGGATAAGGGATACTTTGGTAACGTTTTTGATTTTATGTATTTAAATTAATTAAATATAGAAATAATTTTTGTTTTTATTTTATGGTAAATAATGAAACAGAAAACATGTTTGATAATTATTTTTATCTATAAAATTATGAGAATAAAAATAAAAAATAATTAGAATTAGCTAATTGTCTCTAAAATTAGCTTACAAGAATGTAATGCATGAAAATAATAATTAGAATATGATATGACAATTTGATGCAACATACAATAATTCAACGCTGCTGAAGCTAGCCATAACTACTATCTAGACTCTGGTATTATCCCCTATTATAAAAATACAAATTTTACTATAAAATATTATTATTAATTTACCATGAAAATGATCCGCGCCTTCTTTTCTTTTCTTAGAATTAATAATCAACAAATTTGTAATACACTTGTGTCTTCACACTAAGAAACTAACTGAGTTATATAGTCACATAGAACTAAAATAATCAAAGCACAAAATCGTAGTCTACCATCAAAACAAACATCAATGTGCTGTGTAAAACCCTAATGATAAATCAATAACGAATTTTACATACAAATATACAAATCTATGTATATTGTTATGAAAAAATATAGATAAAACAAAAAAAATAAGATTGGAGTCTGTGATGTATAGATCTATGCATATATATACAGATCTGTGTATGTATATACATATATCTATACAAATAAAGGGGTTACAGTTACCTTCTTCGTCTTTGTCAGTTGATCTATGACCCTTCTTTGTCTTCGTCGATCTGTGAATGGATGAGAGAGAGAGTTGCTGAGAGAGCTCTAGAGAAGAAAGACGTATAGGAGAGAGAGTCGTTGCTCTTACCTTCACAAAAAAAGAGAAAGTGGTTGCAAAGGGGCTGATTTGTGAGGACAAAAATGAAAAAAAGACCCCATATTTATAATCTTTCATATGAAGTAGGATTTTGTGGCTAACAAGACTTGAATGTGAGACCTCATTTGAACAAAAAACGTGTCTCCTGTTTCACGTTTCCTAGAACAAAAATTTTTTGTTCTTATTTTTTTATTTTTTTCTTCAAAATAACTAATATAAAAAAAAAAAATAGTACCAAAACATATTTTTTGTTTTCATTTTTGATAAAAATTGAAAATAAAAACACAAAACACAAGACAAAAACAGTTACCAAACAACTCCTAATTTTTTTATTCATGAAGGAAAAAAAATATTATTTCTATGTCTTTTCTCTAGTACAATAAATGAAAAGTTGGAAATATTAATTTTTTTATTTGGACTCAGAGTAAAAATAAAAGAAAATAAAATAAATATGAATTCATTTTACGATTTTACCCTTAAATATAACAAGTATTTTTTTTATTACAAATAAATTTTTCAAAAAATTTTCTCTTTGGTAAGAGGAAAAAAAAAAGAATTAAAGTGGGGCTGAAAAAACATAATATTTGAGAAAGTTTAATAAAAAATTATTATTAAAGTAATTTATTAAGCAACTCCAATTAATACCTACCCATTTTCACGTTGCTAACATCAGCAAGAACAATCTCAAATAAGTGGAGATGTGTCACCAATTGAAAAAAAAAATGTGGAAATGTATCTAGAATGCTCAGCAAACCTTTTAAAGGCATTGATGCAAGAAGCGTAAATTAGTAAGTTAATTTATTCAACCAAAAGACTGCCTTTCTCTCTAATTTTCCGCCCAAAACTGAACGGATGAGAAATGGCGGACGGTGGAATTCATTTTCCACCGTCTTTTCCTTTCCACTGCCTTCTCCTTTAGAACTAAACAGGGGAAATACTTTCTTCTTCCCCCACTTTTCATCCTTCTTTTTCCATCCACCCATCTTTCCTTTATACCAAACAGACCANCCTTTAGAACTAAACCGGGGAAATACTTTCTTCTTCCCCCACTTTTCATCCTTCTTTTTCCATCCACCCATCTTTCCTTTATACCAAACAGACCATAAGACTTCATTAGTTCATGGACTTTATTATGAAGCAGACAATTTTAACCTGTCCAAGTGAACGAAATTGTCTGGTCTAAAACAGATTCAGTTAATCCAAATCAATTAATAGATTATGGGTTTTATGTCCGATTCATGTACCAACGAACCTTTAATCCAATAGTATTTTTTATCTTGTGAGATTTTTGTCNCTGGTCTAAAACAGATTCAGTTAATCCAAATCAATTAATAGATTATGGGTTTTATGTCCGATTCATGTACCAACGAACCTTTAATCCAATAATATTTTTTATCTTGTGAGATTTTTGTCTTCTTAAAGTTAAGAGCTCAAGTCCCCTCCCCTCTCTCAAACAAAAAAAAAAAAATTATATCCGATTCGTGCTACTTTACCCATAACATTATTAGTTAAATGATATTAAAATACTGGATAAAACAGAATTTTCTATGCCCATTTTCAAGTTTATTTATCCTAAATTTGTAGCAGTGGCAAGACTTCAAATACTATAATTTTAATACACATTACACTTTCAAATATACAAATCCATCACTGCAGAATTTTGAGGGTAGATTGGAGACCCGACTGAACTTTGCTTGAGAAATAAGCCTCCAGTCTGCATGGTAAACAGTCTAAAGTTAGAACTGTTGAAAATATACTTTACTGAAATTTAATTGGTCCCCGAGACCCAAAAGAATAATAATAATAATAATAACTCCTNACTGCAGAATTTTGAGGGTAGATTGGAGACCCGACTGAACTTTGCTTGAGAAATAAGCCTCCAGTCTGCATGGTAAACAGTCTAAAGTTAGAACTATTGAAAATATACTTTACTGAAATTTAATTAGTCCCCGAGACCCAAAAGAATAATAATAATAATAACTCCCNGAGACCCGACTGAACTTTGCTTGAGAAATAAGCCTCCAGTCTGCATGGTAAACAGTCTAAAGTTAGAACTGTTGAAAATATACTTTACTGAAATTTAATTGGTCCCCGAGACCCAAAAGAATAATAATAATAATAATAACTCCTCAGGGAATTAGACCAACATGCCTGCCTGCACACTTGTAATAAATGGTTTCAGGAGCGTTATAAGTCCGTGCATTTGAAAACATCCTCCGGACATCGGCAACAAACATCTCAAATGTCACATAACACAGCTCTGAATCTACTCGCTTCGCCATTGATTTCAAATCTGCAATGCGAAGAATATCCATTTAAGCAAAAAAATTTCAATTTAATGTCCTCAGGGTTAGAGATCTGAGCTTTTAAGTCCATGTTGGGAAGGTGTTCTGGGGAAGGAGGGCGTGTAAAACTTACTCTGTGAAGTCTCTCTCTAATAGTAAGGAAAGCAGATCAAATCCTATGAAATAATAGTTCTATCTACACAAAATCTGAATATTTCACAAATAAATAAGGACTCAAAA